TTTTTTTTTTTATTTTTTTATAAAAATTATTAAAAAAAAATTAGTTTTTTTTTTTTTTTTTTTTTTTTAATTATTTTTTTTATTTTTTTTTTATTAAAAATATATATTTTTACATTACACTTGTTATGCCCCTTATATTTTTTTCTTTTTTATTTTATATATGAAAAATTCTTACATTCTATTAAATTATACATTATTTATAATTTTAAGAATATTTATCAAATATATTTTTTTTTTTAAATATGCTAAAAGTCTTAGTTTTTTTTTTTTTTTTTTTTTTTTTTTTTTTTTTTTTTTTTTTTAATTTATTTTTTAAAAAAAATTGTGCATTAAAACAGAATAATAAAAAAAAAAAAATTTTTTAGTTATAGCAGCTAGTGAGTTCTAAAATTCAAAAAAAGGAAAAAACATACATGTGTAAAGTATTATATGTATATATTTGCAATTTAAATATAAATATTAAATAAATAATAATTAAAAAGAGAATATTTTTACTAGATATATTAAATAAGCATTGAACATTTTTTTTTTTTTTTGTATAAAATACTTGTGTTTTTTCCTAAAAAAAAAAAAAAAAATTATTTATATGTATATATATAATTAGAAAGGTTTGCTTTCATTTTTTCATATTATTCATCTTCTATTTATAAAGTAGAATTTCTTTATATTAGTTTCCATATATTTTTTTCTGTCTTTAATTTTTTATATGTAATACTTCATTATTTGTTTTTTAATTAGTACTATATTGGCCTTTTAATTCAATTTTATTATTCCTTTTTCTTTTTCATTTTAATTTTTTTTGTTTAATGATTATTATTTTCATTATATTTTTTTTTTTTTTTTTCTATTCCTCTTTATTTAATATATGTAATTTATAGATATATGATACACTTCCTATAAGCATACATAATTTGTTATTTATAAAAATAAATGTATTATAAAATTATTTTATAAAATTAAATTATAACTACTATATACATATTTGAAGTAGTTTAAATTTTTATAAACTTTTGAAAGATGACTTCTGTAAAAGAAAGATATTTTAGAATTCCCAATGATGATGAAATAGATGAATTTTTAGAAAAAGTAGATAATGTAACAACTAAAGTTAGAAATATATTAAATGATAAAATAAGTATAGAAGAATTAGAAAAAGAAGAAAAGAAATTATTTCTTGAAAAAAGAGTGAGAGAAATTAAAGAAGAAGAAAAAAAGGAAAAAGAAAAAAGAGATTTTATAATGGGTAGAGAAGGAAAAGGAAATGAAAATGATTATTTATATTTTTGTCGTTTTTGTTTTGTTGAATATAATTATCATTTAAAAAATTGTAAAAGATGTAATGGAGTAGTAATAACTAGAGAACAAAGAAAAAAGGAATTAGAAGAAAAAGTAAAAATTTATAAAAATGAGAAAGATAAAAGAAATATTAGAAGAAACAATTGGGAACAATTTTTAAAATCAAAAAAAAATCAAGAGGTAAGAAAAATAACAAACTATGAAAAATGGGATTATTATGAACCAAGTAGTGACACTTTTGATGAGGATGAAAAAACATTATATGTGCCTAAAAATAATCAAAATTTTCAAATATTAGAAAAAAAAATGAATGAAGATATAAAAAAAAGAAATGAAAATAGAAAAATTGCTTATAATATGAAGCAGAAAGGAAATAATTTTTTTAGACAAAAAAATTATTTATATGCTATAGATTGTTATAAAAATGCTTTAGATATATGCAAGGATTATTTAGAATTGTATAATAATTTATCTTTATGCCAAATTAAAATATATCAATATGAAAATGCTATTGAAAATTGTGATAAAGTTATTGATTATTATAATATATTTCGTAATGATCTCAAAATTAAAAATTCAGTTATTTTCAAAAGTTATGCAAGAAAAGGATTAGCACTTTTTAAATTACATAAATTTAATGAATCATTAGAAAACTTTAAGTTAGCTTTATTACTTTATCCCGATGATAAGGAAACAATTGAATATATTGAAAAATGTGAAAAAATTTTAAACGATTATCAAATTGTACAAAATGATGAATTCTATTCAAATAAAAATCAAGAAAACGAGAAAAGAAAAGTAGAAAAAAAAGTAGAAAAAAATGTAGAAAAAAAAGTAGAAAAAAATGTAGAAAAAAAAGTAGAAAAAAAAGTAGAAAAAAATGTAGAAAAAAAAGAACATTTGGAAGAGAATAAAAATAATGAAAGATATAATATTGATAGTAATGATCTAAATAAAGAGAATTTTGAACAACTAACAATGGAATTATTGAAAATAGATATAAAAAAAAAACCAAAAGTTTTTTCAGAGTATCTTAGAAAAATGAAGAAATTTCTAAAGAAAAATAAAAATGCAAAACTCAAATTTTGTTCATGTATATATGAAATAAAAGATAGAGAAAATGAAAAAATAAAGAAAACAACTTTATTATCATATGTTGTTGAAAGATTAAATGATATATTATTTTACATTAAAAAAGAAGTTGGTGATGATATATTAAAAAATGATAATATAAAACTTGAAAACTTACATATACCTATATATTTAAAAAAATGTGGCAACAGAATTATTGATATCTTAATATTTATACTTGAAGATGGTTATCATTATTCTGATTTTTGCATTAATGCATTAAAACCAGTTTTAACTTTTTATTCTTTCAAAATTTTAAAAATTTTAAAATGTACAAATTTTTTACTTTTTATTAGTGAGAATTATGAAGCAAGAAAATTATTTTATAGTATTATTGAAAGTAATAACTATGTTTTAAAAAATATATTGACAACAATGAATGATTATATAAAAGAACAAAGAAGTGTTTATACAAAAGAAAAATTATTACGTTTTGAATCTTTAAGAAGTTTTATATCTAATGGTTTGAATGATGATATAAGTGAAATTATAAAAGAAGACAATAATAAGAGTTTCTCAATTAAAGAGAATAACAAAAATGAAAGTATTATAAATAATAATAAATTCAATGATAAAAAAAATTATAATGAAAGAAATGATATTTTAAAAAACACTCCGACTATAAATTTATTGTATAATAAAACTGAAAAAAAATTAGAAGAAAAAAAAAGTAAAAAATTAATTGAAAAAAAGTATGAATTTATTAATTTATTTGGTATTTTATCTCATTTCATTGTGGAAACTAATATATTGAATTTTCTAGAAAAAAATTTTATGAAAGAAATATTTAACATTATCATTTTTATTAATGAAAAATTTTATGATTACAATGAAATGCATTGCAATTATTTGTCTTTTTTAGTAAATCTAGTTGGAAATATAAACATAAGATTAATTTTTTTGAACAAATGTTGGTCTAATATATTTTATTTTGTAGAACATATTGAAAATGAAAGTTTATTGAAACATATTTTATCAGTAATTTTTAATTTAACAATTATGTGGACAAATGAAATGGAAAAAAAAAAAAAAGTTGTATCTTTTGATAAGGAAATTAAAAAAAGTATTTTTCACAAAATTATTAAGCACACTCAATCTGTAGATAAACGAGTAAGTGAGTTGTGTTTTTTACTTTTAAGTAGATTTTATTTATATGTTTATTATTCATTCTATTATAAGGACAAAAATAATAATGATAGTTGTAATGGTAATTATGATGATAATATTAATGATAATAATAATGACAAGAAATTAATAAATTCTTTAAAAAAAAATATAGGTAAAGAAAATGAAAAATTAATTCAATTAGATGAATTTTCTATTTTATCTCTAAAAAAATCTATTTTATTAACTTTATCAAGAAAAAATGAATTTTCTTTAATAAAGTCATGCATAAGTCTTGTTTTCAGCTTATCAAGATATACTAATTTTTTAAATATTTTAATTGAAAAAGATGTTAACTATATTTTTAAAGAATTAACAGTTAAAATATGTTCAATATTTTTAGATATTCAAAATAATACTACTAAAGATAAATCATTTTATATTTTAATAAACAATATTATTATGTTTTTTACACAAATTTTAAAAATTATATTAATAAAAAGTGATTGCAACAATATAGAAATATATAATGAAATAAGAAAAATAATACCATCTGCAATTCAAATAATGAATAATGTAGAAAAAATATTAAAAAAAAATATTTCCATTTTTTTATCATATTGTTTTTTAAATAATCATTTAAAACAGACAATATTATCACTATATAATAATGACATCAATAAAATTTATTACTTACTAAAAGTTTCTTAGCTTTTAATTTATATTATATATATATATATATATTTTAAGTAAAAATAATATAATTTTATCTGTTTTTATAAAAAAATTAAAAATAGTATTATTTATAATATGTAGTAAAAAATCATATTTTCTATTTTTTTTATTTTTTTGTTTAATTAAATTTTATAACAAATTAATATAGTTTTTTTGATTTTACAGAAAATGAAAATTGTCTATTTAAAGAATATTCATATTTTTAAAAAAAAAAAAAAAACAAAAAATAGAAGTTATTAAAAAAAAAAAAAAAAACTAAAAAAATAAATCTCAAAATAAATAAAAACTCTAATAAAAATATAACTTCTATAAAAGGATTTATAAAATATGATGAAATAAAGTAAAATAATTTTTAACAAGTAAATTATACATTTTATTCAAAAAAAAGGAAAGTATATAAAATGTTTGATAATATATATATTTAAATAATATAAAATAAATAAATATTTATATTAAGAAATGACAAAATATTATGGAAAATTTGGAAGAGAACCTCTACAAGTAGGGCATTCTAATTTTATATTCATCCATTGTTGTAAACATTTTTCATGAAAAATATGATAACAAGGGGTGACACAATATTTTTTATCTTTTAAAAGAATATCATACATACATATTACACATTCTGGTATTCCTGATTCAAAATTAGGATCAATTGTTTTATAATAATTGTGAACATGTGGTAGTATATCAATATTAACAAAATATCTTGGACCATATATTCTTTGAGTTAACATACATATTAGTTGAATAGCAATAATTATAATTAGCAAAATACTGAATGTTGCATTAGAAGTATCAATTACTTGTGTAAATATATCTAATTGAAAAATATTATAAGGATATATAAATATATAAATAGGTAAAAATAATCTACATAATGATAAAAAAAAAACAAATTTTAAATTAATAGAATTTCTTTGTCCTTTCCAAATATCTAGAAGTATTTGAGGCAACCAGCATAAATATAATACTAGTAATATATATGGGAATAATGGAAAAACATAATAAAATAAAATAATTAATATTAATATACTACCGTAATAATATTTATATAGTTTACTTAATTTTCTTTGCATATATTCCCATCCATCATTAATATCTTGTTGATGATTTGCTTTCCATATAATTAACACATATCTCACTTCCATTAACGTAAACAAAAGAAACTTCAACAAAACCATTATTATAAAATGAATTAATAATAATCTCGACAACATTACTTCATATAAAAGTAACAAGGATTCAAATATTTCTATAAAAGAATTTAAACATATAGATATTAATGATATTTTTGCAGCATTACGCATATTTTCACTGTTTCCTATTTGTGACCAAAATAATCCTAATTCTATTATTGACTTGATATTAAATATTATTGAAAAATTCATAACTTTATTAGATATATAACTTTTATCTATATCATCTCCATTAATTGATATAAACAAATTACAATTATTTGATAAAATATATCCTTCATAATCGTTATAATTTTCTATTTTATCTTCTGTGTTTATGTTAAAAAAATTCCTATTTTCTTCCTTATTCAATGCCTCATTTTCATTATTTGTTGATATATTTTTATTATTACTTTCACTATATGACTCATAATTATCTTTTTTTTCATTTAATGAATTTCCATTAGTCATATTTGTAAATTCCTTTTTTTCATTTATATCCATTTTATTATTACTAGTTTTAGGATTATTCAATGTTTCATCTTCTAACTGCATCATCATATCTTTAGTAGAGGAATTTTTTAAATTATCATCTAATGATTTCTTTTCTAAATAAGTATCCTCATTTAATTTTTCATATTCATTATAAATTTCTCTTGTGTTTTTTTCTTCTACACTAGCGTTATTATTATTGGGATTACTTTTAGTGAAATTTTTACTATAATAATTATCAATATTATTTATGTATTCTTCATATTGCTTATAATATTGATGAGATACAAAATTTTTATAATATTCAGTTTCATCAAGTAAATAATTTTTTAGAGAATACAAATATGATTCATCTAATTCTCTTAAAGAAGTAGATTCGTAATTACTTAAGTATTGTTTAATATTTATTCTATAATTACATAAACAATTTTCATTAAAATTTTGACAAAAATTAGCTATATTATAACCTATCCCATTAAAAATATAGTTATTACTTTTGTTTATATTTATTCCACTTAATCCTATAAATTGGTACTTTTTATTTTTTTTATTATTTTTTTTTTTTTTTAATTCATTTTTAAAGGGCTCAAAATGAAAAAAAATATATGATTTACTAGCATTGGTTAAAGCTAATTTTAATGTAATTAATTTTGCTTCAAATTTTCCTTTTTTTACATTTAAATCATCATTTAATTTATTTGATAAATAATTATTACTAGTAGTATCCTTAATTTTATAATAACCTTTAAAATTTAAACTTTGAATTAATATGTTATCTAAAATATCATTCATAATTTTTTCATTTCCCGAATCATTTAAAATATCTGTATCTCCATTATTTCTACTATCATAATCATTACTTGGAGGTGAATTATCAGCAGTTATTACCATTATAAAAAATAATGAAATAAAAAAAAGAAATAAGCACAAAACATTACATGATTCTCCTTCATTACTTGTTTCATTATTATATAAAAATATATCATTTCTTTCTTCCGTTTCTTCAACTTCTCTTTGATCTTCTAAATTGGTATTCATAATTTATAGAAGAATAAAATATATATATCCATTTATATATTTTTATTCTTAACGTTTTATTTTTTATTATCTTGTTAAAATTTTCCTTTTTTTTTTTTTTTTTATATATATATGTTTCATATTTTTTTTTTTTTTTTTTT